TCATATTTCAATTTCAGATCTAAAGAAAGGCGTCTTCCACACATAGATGCAATGAATCATGTGCTTTGGGGCATGGTTATCCACTGGATACGCTGACCTCACAGACAGTTTCACATCTATCTTTTTATTGTCTCCTTCTCGGCACCGACAGGTGAAAATGTCACAAGTAAAAAAAAATCATTTTAGTTTTCATCATTCATTTCTGTCATAATTTTCTATGGCTGTCTTTGACACCCTGCTGTCTCTTTGCTCATTTATTCCTGGGCATGTCCCTGTCTGTGCCTTTCTCTTTGTCCTCCACCTTGCCATTGTGGTGCTTTCTGGCAGGAACACTTCACATCAGACTCCCAAACACTGATGAAAGCACCAGTTCTGACACTTTCAGTCTCACAAGTTTGGAGGCTTTCACTGCAGCTGTAAATGAGCTCATTGGGATGCATGAATCACCATTCAGCGGTAGCTCATTGGTTTTGTTTTGTGACTTTGAATGTCTACATTTTCATCCAATTTCTACTAATAACCTCCAAACATGCTGCGCCTCATCTGGTTATCAGCCTCTGATTGGACTCACCGAACAGACTTCTGACATCAAAAACACTGAATGGTGACGCAATGACCAGCTTTTTATTTTCGGATCTGCGTTTTCATAGCTTAAAGAATCCATTTGTGCTCCCCATGGATGTTTCTGACACCTTTCTGACTCCTAATTAAATATTTTATACACTTTACATGTTTTAATGATAATTGTAGCCTACATTAGCTTCAAGGTAAAGACTATTTGCTTTTATTTGCTAATATCTTTTAAAACCTCAAAATATTGTTTTAATATTAGGAAGAAAAATAAAGTAGATGATAGTTTTTGTTTCTTTTCTTTCATAAAATGATTTTTCAGATTGGTTTGGAGAGACCGCCATTTGCCAAATTAAAAACGAAATGTTTACAAAGTTAGATCTGGCTCATTTTTTGTTTTTGAATTGGTGCAGAAAAGCACCAGCTGCCGACAGATTAACAGAGCCGTGCCTGAAAGGTGCTCGGTTTTTCAGCCCTCCCACACACACGTGTAGTCTTTTTTGCGGACGATACACACCTGTTCATGACTAAAGCCCAGCTAATGGTTCCTTAACCTCCTGAGACCCTGTGTCCTCATAAGAGGACGTTGCATTTTTGTCTCTCTTTACCATGATACTTCTTTTTTTCTTTCAGCTTTGACCTCTTGACCTCATAGCAGATGCTATCAGACACTGTTTGAAATCTAAAGTAAAATGGTTTTATACATTTCCATCCAATCATGTTCTTATTGTGTAATAGAAAAACTGTAAATGAGTCAATGGGACTGTCAGAACAAAATTGTAAAAACATTTAATTAAATATGTATCTCATATATCTTTAAAAAAAAAGCTAAAATGCATGCCAAATAAAAGCTCGGGCCTCAGGAGGTTAAGATTGGGCCCAGAGTCTGAATGGAATGTAGACCATAGACTCAGAGCACTTATCCCAAAACATGAGTCTGGTGTGATGCAGCATGCTGTTATTTAGTGTCTGATTCCATTGTTAAAGTAAATGAATATGCTAATCTGTCTTGCATTCAACTCTTTAACCTGATTTTTTTTGGTTCTTGTTGTAAGTCTGAGGTTAAATCCCTTTCACACTTCAAATTGAAACCCCTCTCTCTCTTGCAGAATGTCAGTCGGTGCACAGAGCCGTCCTGTGGCTCGACGTGAACAAACTAGAGGCTTTTGAGGTCAGCTTCTGCTCCGACAGACCTCTCACTGTGAAGGCAAAGATTTCAGTGCAGGTCAAGGACAACCAGTACAGCAATACCATCATTTTGGTGACAGCGGAGGCTTACCAGGAAATCGTCTCACTCGAATACATTAGCAGGCCGATTCAGGACGTGGATCAGGAGGAGGAAGGAGAAGGTGGGAAAGAGCACGAGAGGGAGTAGAAAGAAATCCTATTAACAGAAATATTCAGAATCAGAATCAGAATCAGAATCAGAAATACTTTAATAATCCCAGAGGGAAATTATTTAAAAAGAAAGGAAGTGTGTAAACGGAAATTTATCTAAAAGGCCTGTTTCTTTCTTTTCCAAGGGAACTGTGAGGTGCTGAACTTTGGTGACTGCCATGTAGACTGCCAACACCAGGAGAGTTTCACCTTGATCAACCACAGTAGCGACCAGGTGGTGAGATTCGAGTGGCCTCCTGGCGGATCTCATGTCAGCTTTTCACCTCAGGTAAAAAAAAAAAAAACTGACACAACAATTAGGACTCGGATTTCATACTTTAGTCTCACTACACAGTGTGAAAACACAAAACAGGTGCAGCATCATAATTCAGAATTCATATTCATTCATTCAGAAGTAGAAGGATGGCAACTTTACAAATGGCTGTTTTATTTGGCCTCATATCTGTCTTAACTGTAAGCTGAACAGGTTCCCTGATAACACGGCTGTGTGTGATGATAGAAATCCTCTCTGTTTGCAGGTCGGGCACCTTCATGCTGGATGCTCCAAAGAAGTGAGCGTTATCTTTTGTTCCAGTCAGCCGGTGACTCTGAAAAGCAAGTCAAAGAAATGCAAGTTTTGCCGGGTGGAGTTCCAGCAGCCTCTGGAGCAGGTGGCCGACTGGGACGACCGGCAAAGGACAGTACAGTGGCAAAGCCCTTCAAAGGTTTCTGAAGCACCGCAGCTGCCTGTGGCCAGCAGGATACACCCAGCCCCAGTTTGTCTGACAGACGGATGGACGACGTATAGATAATCGTGTTCGTGTCTGTGCCTGCCTGCAGGTGGTGCAGACCGATCCTGAGCCCAGCTGCTCTGTGGTGGATGGCTCTCAGTGGGAGCTGGATTTGCTCATCAGTGCAGTCTGTGACTATGCCAAGTTCAGCTGCTCCAACAACACCATCCACTTCAAAGACACAATGCTTTTTCAAACCAGGGTTCACCAGTAAGTCCGGTTCTGGCTTCTAAATACTGTCGTCCATGTAATCACATTAGAGACTTTAATACCCAAACCTTAGAGATACAATAATTATTGTTCAATAAAAGACGATGACATGGGCTGAGTTATTCTCTTATTACATACTATACTGTCACATTTATGTCCCCCACAATTTTATTAAGTGTCTTTTTTTAGATGAAATTGTGTACATTGTTTTTGTGTGTGTAAATACAGGCTGCAGATTGTGAACGAAGGCAGTGTGAAAGTAGATTACGCCTGGCAGGTCCTAATGGATTCGAGCAGCAGCTCAGGGAGTCGGGATGGAGGTACGGCACAGAACTACCTCTTCTTCTCAGAGTTAAAGTGATTCAGTCCTAACCTGCACCTCTGCTGTGATGTCAAACAGAAAGGTTACGACTACAACGCCCATTTCACAGCAGTAAATCCTCATCCGATGCTTAAAAGAGTTGCTAAACACAGTCTATGATTAGCAGCAACATGTGACATGGTGTTTAAAGTCCCTCCATGATCCAGCAGTCGGTGGAACCTCCTTCAGCTGCAGGACGCTGGGCCCTCTCTTCTTAAGAGCGTTACTAACCAGCCATGTTTCAGTCTTTTACTAATACCACTGCCATGACCTTTAAACTTCAGCAGGCATGTAGAGTCTGAGATGTAGGTCTTTGGGTTTCTGTTTGCCTTTAAACAAACAACTTCCCTGCTGTCTGTGACAGATGGGAGCCCCACCTCCTGTCCTGGATCGGCAGATTCGCTGCCTGCAGCCCGTCCCTCCAGTGCTCTGCTCAGAGTGGCCACTCTCCTAACGGTGAACCCTGAGCTGCCCGCTTTCACTGTGGAACCCAGTGCAGGAACCATTATTCCTGGTGCCACGCAGGACTTCAGCGTCCGCTTTTCACCAGTGGAGCTGGCTCAGTTTCAGGGAAAGCTGATCTGCAGGTGAACAGACGATCTGTCAAATGAAAAGAGGGTTTATAACTTGATCATTCACAAAGGCAGATGATGCATCTGTGAAAGCTTTTAGTATCATTTTAAATAGAAATATTTTCACTAACAGACTGTGCACAGTGTTCCAAAGGGCTGATGGAGCTCCAGCTCATGAGGCATCGGCATCTTTATGAGCTGGACAGCAGCTGCAGGATTCTGGATTCTTATAATTTCATTCCCTGTGTGTTTACATGTTTTCCAGCATTCCCAACTTGCAGGATGGGGATCTTGCTCCCTGTATCCCGGTGTTTGGCCGTAGCCTGCTGCCCCACTGCCACTTTGATTTTGAGGACTCAGACTACATCAGCGGCCATCGCCGCAGGGTCAGGAGCCCTGTGGACCTCAACAGTCGAGTTTTGGAGTTTGAAGCTGTTGGCTTCACCACACCATCAAAGAGGTAATGAAGGGACAGACTGGAGGTTTGATACTAACTACTGGAAGTGCTTAAAAAATGTGTGTTGCAGATGTTTTAGTGTGCTGAACCCAACCAGTCGGACCTATTCCTTCAAATGGAGGTGTGAAGACGACAGTGCCAGTCCTTTCCGCTGTCTCAGCCCATGTGGCTCCATCCTACCTGGGAAGAGGACTCAGGTAAGACCGAAAAGGAGCACAGAACATCCCAGCCCCCGCTCGGGGTTTGCTCCTGACTTTGAGATAATTCTCTCCTCTGCCCATGTCTGCAGGTGTGTTTTGAATATATTGCAGATCAGCCGGATACTGTGGAGTCCTTCTGGACTTTTGTGATCGAGACTGTGTCGCTATCTGTTCCCTTCCTGTTGGTGGGCACCACCAGAGAACCACTCGTTTATTTTCAGAGGCCTCACCTTGATCTTGGAGAGCTGCTTGTTGGTGTGTAACACTGCTGTACACGTATGGGGCCAGGTTGACAAATATTTTATTATATTTGTCAGAAATCCTTTTTTGGTGAAGAAACAGACAGCCGTGCACACTTACTTTTGATTTGAACATTTTCGCAGCAGTTTGTCAAATACATTGAAAATGGAAAACTCTTTATCATCTTTTCTGAGCTTTGAATCAGGAATCAATTGACCAGCAGAGCTGAAAATGTAATCCTGGCCTTTATGACGGACACAAATTCTACCTATCAAAGAGATTGATCCAGCAGGATCTCTGGTTTTCATATGAGGGGACAATTATTTTTCAAAGCGATCTGATTCCTTTTACTACAAAAAGAGTTTAAATATTGTATTCAGACACCAAAAGATTTTTACAGTCTCCCCAAAAAGTGGCTTGAATTAAGCAGAATTTTCTGGGAATTAATCATTACTTGTTGATTGCTGATTTATTGGTGGATAGATGGCAGATAATGTTGTGTTCATGAAGAACAGATTATGATATGACTTTTGTTATGAGGGTTCTTGATTATTTTTGTACCAGCTTGAGACAGGAAGATAATTATTTTATGATGACTTAAAGATTAGTAACTATTTTACATGAAACCCTCCACCGAGTGGAGTGTCATGTTGAGTTCAGAATCATTAATTAATCATGACTGTTGGGTCTGTTGAGTAATTCTGTAGTTTTTTATAACTTCCACATCTTCATAGTTTTATGAGCTTTTCCCTTTTTGAGTATTAAGTGGTGAAACATTTTGATCAGCTGCCGTTCTTTATTGCTTCTACATTTACTTCCCAAAATAGTGTCAATTTGACTTTCATCAGCAAATTTGAGTTTTATTAGATTTGATGAAAAGAGATTTTAAGTATTATACGTCCCTTGTTTTTTTTTTTATTAATCTGCAAAGTGTTTCTTCATCAAACAAAGCAGTCCAAAACTATGATTTGTAGATACATTACAGTAAAATGACATGGTTATGTTAGTATTTCCCCACAAAATAAATGAGCAGAGAAACATACCATAGCCCTCAGTTATCATCCAGCAGCTTTCTGTCTCATCAGCTCAGGTCTGGATTTTGGGATGTTGAACGATCCGCCTGATTCACAGGTGATGCAGATTGTTACTCAGAAATGGTCCAAACGTGTATGTGTGTGTGTCGCACACAGGCCGTCAAGCAGAGCAGACAGTGGCTCTGGTGAACGGAGAGCTGGAGCCTCTCAGCTTCTCTGTCCTGCCGGAATCTCTTCTTTCTGAGGATCAGCTGTCAGGTCTCATCGTGCATCCCATGAGCGGCACGGTGGCACCCAAAGACAGGTGAACACCCCACTGCTGATCTTTGAAAAGGTGGAGACTGTTTTTATCTTAAATAGACGGAAAATTGCTTGTGTTTGTTTCAGGCTGCCACTGTTTGTGTCACTCACGCCTTCCCTGGAGGCCCATGTGAGTTTCAGGGTGACCCTTAAGGTGAAGTGCAGGTCAGAACCACTCACGTTCACCGTTAGGGCCGATTGCTTTGCCATGAGTGCCACAGTTCAGATTGAGCAGCCTGACGGGGGCCTCAAAGATGTTTCCCCCAACCACCAAGACGTTTTGGACTTCGGAAAGGTTATCACACTTTCACAATAGAGACAGAAAATACTTTAAAAAACAAAACCATCTTTTTTTCCCTCAGAGTTTTAATCTCCTCTGTTGGTCTGCATGTACACCACTCATAGGTGGGCATTTCAGAGCAATCCACCTTTAAGTTGCTGGTGTCCAATTGTGCAAGATTCAGCCTGGAGGTGAACTTTGAATTAATGGGTCCCGGAGATCTTCTTCAGCACTTAGAGGCAAAGCCTCAAACTGCAACCATTGAGGTGGGGAAGCAGCTGCAGTCGTTACTCTTCTTCAGTCCGCAGAGCATTTGCAACCTCCAGGACGTCAGCCTTAATGTCAAGGTAGGATGCCAGTGAGGGGGTCAGAGAGCTGAATGTAATTTCTTCTGTCTGCACTCATTAAGTCTCCTTTATGTTTGATTTTTCCTGTCAGGTGAAGTTTGGGCCAACATTTACCTTCACCGTTAAAGGTGGGGCGGTAGCACCCAGCCTGGAGTTCTCCTTCAACAAGTTCAACTTCGGCAGGTGCTTCCTGTCCTGCCCCGGCATGCAGCCGCCGTCCCAAACTCTGGTGATAAGCAACAAAGGGAGGAGAGACGTCAGGTATTCTGCTTTCTCCCCATGGGAAGCACCAACGTTAACGTGAAGGAGAAGTGAATGGAAAAGGAGGCCGAGATGGTAAAAAGAGCTGTGAGACCAACCCCCTGTCCTCTCTGTATCCTCATCAGTGTCCAGTGCCTGTTCAAAAACACACATTTTCTTAAGATGGACTTCCAACCGGACATTTTATCCCCTGGTACTGCAATCAGGGTACCGCTTACCTTTTATCCATCTGAGGCACGTCGATACCACGAGAAGCTCAGCTTCATCCTGAACAGCTGCGTCACAAGACAGGTGGAGGTTCTGGGGCAGGGCACTGAGATGAAGGTGAGCAGGAGGAGTGTGTGTGCATCTGACACTGATCCTAGGATTTAAGGAGGTGGGATTCCCATCAAGAAGCTGCATTAAGCTGCCAACATAAATGGATACAAGTAAATAACAAAGCAGCAGGTGACAGAGCTTCTCTCTGTAGAAGCTGTAAAACAGGCTGACACATGTCTATGTCTCTGGTATTGGCAGCATAATTTAAACACTTTTGTATGAAATCAATACAGATGCATAAAAGCTCCAGTTTCATCACGTTTCTATAAATCTCCATCAAACCTCAGGATGGCACAAGGCTCCGCTCACATGAGCTGTTAAATCCTGTTATTGGACTGAATGCTTCCCTGGCATGGTAACGGGAAGCAGGGTTATGGTTTGGTTACACAGTCCATACAGCCGGGAAAACTCACATTATCACAGCTGTCAGTGAGCGTTTGCTGTTTCAATGTCATGTCCCACGTCAGATTTAACGAGCCTTATTAGAATTAGGTCTGAATCTAAAATACTTTCTTTGTATGGCAATTGAAATGTATTACACTGTATATATTTGTTTCAACAGTTTATATTTTATTAATATGTTTATGACATTTGTCTCCTAATATTGATGTTTCTCTATAGTTTTCTGTTAGAAAGATCTTCGTAGTCCACAATCTGCAGTAATATTAGGATACAAAAAATATAATTTGATTTATTTTCCAACATGAACTAATCATTCTTGTCATTTTAATTTCCTACCTAAATTGCAATCTAATTCAATTAGTCCATGTTCCCAAATTCAAGAAATCATTATCTCTTTAGATTCATTCTGGTTAAGACTTTCAGGTAAAGATATTCTTTTCTTGTATTTCTTCTTTTTTTTAAACATTTTTCTTCAAAAAATGTTTCCTTTAGTATGAGGTGACTACTGTTTTGTTAAACTGAGTTCAATCCAGCACATTTACAAAAGACGAAAGGTAAATCCTCTGTTATTCCAGCTGGAAGTGGAGGATCCTCGCCAGAAGAAGGTGAAACTGGGATCTCTGACTTTGGGTCAGAAGGTGACAAAGCAAGTGGTTCTAGTCAATCGCAGCAGTTTGGACCTCTCATTCACCCTGACGCTTAATGCAAATACACCTCTGGATCCAAAGGTGAGACAAAAGATGGGACAGTCTAAGAACAAGCAGGCCTCCTTTTGAGCAGCACTGAATGCCACCGTCTTTTCCTGCAGGATCTGTCTGTGAGACCAGCAGGCGAGCTGAAGCTCAAATCTGCCGGCGGCTCCTGTCAGGTGGAGATTCAGTTCTCGCCTCGTCGGCACGTTCCTGCCTTCAGCGCTGAACTGCAGGCGGAGTTTGCAGGCTTCTTCCACCCCCTGCTGACCGTCCAAGGCTGCTGCCTGGTAGGCAGTCCATGTTATGCACCCATCAACCATAACATTATGACCACTAACCAGACTAAAAACTAAATACATGCTGTTAATTTCAGTTTGACTTTTTTATTTTGTGTGCATAAATCTGACGTTGCCTGAAAGAAGGGATATTAACCACCGGCTCCTTTTAAACCCATCAGGGTGTGGAGGTGCTGCTGGACCCGAACCACCTGTCCTTTGGTGCTGTGGTCCAGCGCTGCCAGGCCAGCAGACGGATCATTATGGTGAACATTGGTGACATTGGCGCCAGGTAAAGTCTCCATAAGATTAAGCTGCTTGCAGACCTTTATAGGAAACACATCCACTCTGCGATCATTGTCAAAGGAAATGTCCTGGCTGAATTTAAATCGGCCCCTGTTCTTCCCTTATTACCAGATTCCACTGGAAGACTGAGAATTTCCCCGCAGAGCTGTCCATCACACCAGCAAAAGGATATATCTGTCCGGGGATGGAGGTTCCCTTTGAAGTGACTTTCGCTCCAGTTGAGCTCAGTAATGACAGGAGATATGAGGGCCTGTCTTGCTCTCTGGAGGGCTCCCCCCCACCCGTTCTGCTCACTGTCACAGGCTCCTGCATTGCAGCCTCCACAACACAGGAGGTGAGACTGAAGCTTCTTTTCATCTATTTGCTATTCTTATTAAACGTAGAAGATAAAAACATCAGAAATAAATATATAATAATAAATAAGTTGCCTAAACTGAACTTTTCAAGCTTGACCATGACCTGGATGACTGAGAATCTTCACAGATATCAAAAATTAAAAAAAACAATGCAGGTATTTGATTGTAGTCTAATCCACTGATCCGATTTTAAGAGGTGAAATTAAGTTTAATGTTTCACATTTGGTATAAAACCTACAGGAAAGAGCTGGTTAGAAATCCAACCATCCTGCTGCTAAAGGTGGTTCTACCAGCTGGGGGTTTGTTGATCTCTTGTTAAATTTATGATGACGTGGCTGCATTAACATGGCTTTAGGACAACGCTATTTCAAAAAGCAGATCATTAGCTCCAATTCAGGGAATGCCTCTAGCATCCTTGACATCAACATGAGTGAGAGACAAAAGCTAGAGAAAAACAGCAATGTCAGCGGCCTCCAACAATGGACTCCAAGCTGTAAAACACAGCCCTGATAACCTCCACAAGAGAGCCGCTGACCTGAAACCTGAGGCAACACAGAGAGAGGCTAGCCAATTATCAGAGCCTCCTAAACAAAATGCAAAAAAAACGAGAAGAAATACAGGTCTGATACATCTGAAGCACTGGAAGCTGCCAAACAATCACTCTTAGATCAGGCTAAATTCAGAAAACTAGAGAAGAACCCAGAAAAATAAAGCTATTCAGCAGTGCATCCACACAAGGCAGAGGGTGATGTTTCTGTGGACCTAAAGGAAGCATATGCCCCAGGAGCCTGGCTAAAGAAGCTAACTGCACACCAGACTGGCTAACCCAAAGTCCAACAGTCCTCATGACAAAGGAGGAGTTCCATCCAACCACTATCCGTAACCGGCTTTTAGCACATCAGAGCTCCAACATCTGACACACAGAATGCTGCTCTGTGGAGGCTTGTTTCCCTTCAGTCAGATCATAACTAACAGTGGCTACAGAGAGAAATAATTGAAGACAACGTCATCCGCTGGTGTTGTTCATCTTTTTTAATGACTGTCATAACATGCTTTAATTTCAAACCTCACAGCAATAAGTATAAAAGAGTTTCACACATAAAAGGTTTTTGTCATTAAACTGGAACAAATCTTCTCTTTTAATACTGACTGTGAACCTTTTTCCATAGTCGTAAAACCCATACGATGCCGTGTCAGTGCTGTTGCATCTCAGTACAGGAATTGGTAAAGCACAGCGCCAGATAATGTGAGACATTGATTTGGCTCATTTGGAGAACTCAGCAGGTTTTGGCAGATTTAAAGATTTATTCAAAGTTCCAGTGAGTTTCAATTAGCTGAGTACCCCCGGCGACTGATAGCCTGGGAATCGGACAAATGTGTGAGCTCATGTTTCATTTCCACTTCAGAAATTGCATTTGTGCGTTTGTCTGCAGAAGGCAAGAGGTTTAAGAGAAGGCTTCAGAGTCAGTATGATGCTGGTTTCTCAAATTTGAGGTCTTATAACCCTAAAAATACGGTTGAAATGAGACCCTGAAGTTTAACAGCAGCGAACAGGCTGTGGAGCCTGATTTGTTTAACTTTTGTTGTTTTGCTGTGTTTTGCTCTCCAGGTGGTGAATTTTTTTTGCCCGGTGCGCAGCTCTCAAACCCAGAGCCTGTCTGTGATCAATCCCACCAATCAGCGCTGCTGCATCAGGCCGCTCATTGAGGGAGAACAGTGGAGAGCTGCGCCCATCGTGACCTTTGAACCCCACCAGAACAAGGCTGTTGATATCACATACCGTCCTCTCACCATGACCACTGAAGGAAAGAAACATCTGGTAAAGGAGAGATTTCAGTCAAATGGTGCTCTGCTTTAAACTGCTGAACACAAGTCCTGATCCAGCCCTCCACTCTGTATGTTAGCCTCCAAAAAAAAGTTCAAAGTTCGTAAAGGAATGGTAATAACAAACACAGTTAATCGGATTTTTAAAGGCAGCAACAAGCTGATTCCTAAAGAGCTGTAAGCTGAAAAGCTGGTGTGCAGAGTGTCCTTTAAATATTTTAGGAAACTGGACAAGTGGAGGACAAACATTTTTACTATTTACCTGACCAGCAACGTAAATTCATTTCACCAGTAAAAAAATCTTGATGAACACTTCTTTTCTCTCCCTCAGGGATCGGTTTTCCTCTCTTTTCCTGAGGGGAGAGGCATGCTGTACTCCCTGCATGGAACTGCTGATCCCCCCAAAGCTGAGGACAACATTTCGATCGAGCTGCCAGCCAAATCGCTCCAATCACAGCTGCTTACTGTGAGCAACTGGCTCTCAAAGCAGCAACGGTAAAAAAAAATGACAAAAATGCCAAGTCACCTGTTGGCTGAACCTGTGTCTGTTTACTTTTTGTAAGCTGAACAATACCAGAAGAATACTTGATTATGTTTTTAACCCTCTGAGACGTCTTAAATGACACATTTACTGGTGGAAGACTGGCTTACATTCAGTGTCCTGAGGGGCTCTTTTGTGTGTTTAAACTCAATATAAGGGCCAGATTTAAGGGGCTCTGGCCACAGCGTTTCTTGTGGTTAGAAACTCCTCGATTTACTGCAAAAAAATGCTGCTTGGTTAACTGTTTAGAGGGGTGCAAGAATTTTACTGCTGTGGATTTAGCTGGTAAAACTTCCTATCATTCTGATTACCAACATAAGACAGCAGGGACGATATTAAGCACTTTATTTAACACAAACAAAACACAGATAGAAAAGAAACTGCTGGATCAAAACTTTCATTTTTCAGAAAAGCTACTTTCCCAATCGTTCGTACAGAGGAAACAGAGCTGTGGTGGCTGGCTGTTCCACAGGGAGCCGCCGAAAACCACGTAAAGCTCGAAGACATGTAGCTGTATCAAAGTCAGTTGTTCGGGTCACAGGTGCACCTTCAGCCATCGACCCGAATCAATCATCCATTCATTCAAAGAGCCTGAACTAAAAATGCTCTCATCTGAGCCACATTTGATTTATTCCTTACGATAACGAGGGCATTTGTGTATGTTTGAATCTGCTGCAGGTTGATCTGCAGCATGATGTTTATTATGGAAATGTCCCTAATCCTTTATGAGGCGCAGAGGCAGAACCACATGGCTAGTTGTTTTGAAGAGAGGCTGCATGGAGATAAGCTTTTATCCAGTTTGACTGGACTAAAAACCATTTTGTCAGCGCGTTCCTGCCACCAGAAAGCACTGATTGACTGATGCGCATGTGCAGCGAGACTCTGTGTATCTGACCCAAATAGCATGCTCAGAACGGGGTGTTTCAACTGCCCCCGTCGGCTTGGGCAGAAACCAGGATCTGAGCTGTAGTATCACAACCTCACCAAGCCTGCTGACACATTAAAAATAGTGAAGAAGGTCCCAGAAACAGGGCTGACAGCTCAACAAAACTTTACTCTTCCTTTATGAAAGGGAAAGAAACAGACGATCTGTAGTGCATGCTGAGCAGGTGAATGAGTTTCTGTGTTCTCAGGTTCCACGTGCTGATGGAGACGCTGAAACCTGAGAAACCCGATGCTACAGTGTCACTCAGGGGTCTCAAGTACATGGATGTGCCCGCTCACGCCAACAGGGACTACAATCTGTCCTTCTCTGCATACAAAGAGGGGCATTACAGCACCAAGGTGTGATCATCAGCTCATGTCTGAATGTGCGTCCGCTTGTGTGTGTGGACTGTAACACCGGTCTTTGATCACCCCACCCAGGTGACATTTAGTAACGAGAAAACGGGTGAGTACTTGTTCTACCTTGTTACCTTCAAAGTCACGCCTCCTGGGATCCTGTCCACCATCACTCTGGAGACGACCGTTCGGCGGACGGTCTCAGCCAGCATACAGGTGGAGAACCCGCTGACCACGCCGACCTGCCTCAGCACCGAGTGCAAATGCCCCGACATCAGCGCCCCCCCCCAGCACACGGTGCCAGGACTGTCCCAGGTAGACTCAAACACAGCAAAGAACACAGCAAAGAACAAAGTACTCACACTCCAGCTTTCTGTGGGCCTGTCGTCTCTTTGTAGGGTGTTTTGAGTTTTGAGTACCATCCTCTACACGAAGGCGAGTCCACAGCCAGGCTGTCTCTGCTCAGTAATGATCTGGGCTACTTCCACCACGACCTGATTCTCAAAGCTCTGCCCCCACCGCCAGAGAAAACCGTCCACTTTAGCGCTCCACTGGGCTGCAGCCATGCCGTCCCTGTTAAATTCACCAACTACTCCCGCTTCAAGACCGAGTACTCCTGTAAGGTAAGAAAACTCATGCCTGTCGGTGTGTGCTGCTCTTCAATTACACAGAAATGTGATGGATAGAAAGAAAACGTGAAGAAATTAAAGAAAATATAAAGAAATCTAATAGATAATGAAGATTTTTCATTAAATTTACAGAAATTGTGTGTATTGTGGTCATCAAAGAACCTGTCATCTGTGTGTGTGTGTGTGTGTGTGTGTGTGTGTGTATTTGTGTGTGTTGTTCTGTTGTTCCTCCAGACTGATAAGTCAGATTTCATTGTGGACGAAAGCGTTGGGGCCTCTCCAGGTTTCCAGCTTGGCTCGGAGGCCAGGGTGGAGGTTTGCTTTGAGCCTCATCAGCTGGGGGAAGTGAAAGCCCAGCTCAGGCTGTACTCTGGAATTGGGGGGGAGTACATCTTCCCATTGCACGGGGTGTGCCTCCCCCCGAAAGCGCAGGGCCCCTTCAGCATCAGGGCAGGTCGCAGCATCAATATCCCCTTCAAGAATGTGTTCCTGCAGACCACCAGTTTCTCCTTCCAGGTAAAGACCACCAGACCTTGTAAAAGTTCCCAGATCTTAGTTAACTGGATGAAAACGGTGGAAGGTTTTCCCTTCATATCTGATATTTAAGTCCAAGCGAAGTTAGTATCCAGTGTCTCTGTCACATTTTGTGTCATCCAAAACAATAGGACCACTAAATGAACTGGAGAGTGATTATCTCAGCAGGGGGATGCATTAATTGACTCCACCTAAAAAAGCTGCCATTCTGTTTCTTCACTTTCTCCTGTTTGATATTTCTTTTGCATCCAAAGACGTTCTTCTTTGTCACGTTGCTGAGATTTACACATTATCCTGCTGCTCTCAGGTTGACAACCCTTGCTTCGCTGTCAAAGGAGTGGAAAGCATCGGCTCCAAAAAAACACAAAACATCTCGGTGTGTTTTGAGGCTCCTCCAGGGGGGGGTTCAGGGCCATGCTTTGGCAAACTGACCGTAACCAGCCAGCGCTCAGAGGGGAGCGGCAAAGTCACCACATGGGTCTTTTACCTGAAGGGCCACCGGCCTGAGTCTTCATAGAGAAGTCTGCACACACTGAATAGCACAAAAACCTGACCGCACAGCCACCTGTTTACACTGAAGGCCTCACTGGCTCATTTGTTCTGGTCAACGTTGTTTATTTATCATTTACATCTCTAAAGCACTGAAGTTGAATGTCACTCATATGTTAAAAAGACTGTTTAGAAGTCGTTTCTTGTCTAATAAATTCTCCAGAAAGAGCTCTGATGTCATTTCACACCCATATCCACATGGGGGCAATCACGTCAAGTGATCCAATTTCCACCCCTCTGCCCCCTTGATGGGACAAGATACATCATTTGCTTCACTTTATTGTCTTTTGTTCATTCTGTCAGAGTTTTAGCAGGATTTAATTTGTCCAAACCACCGCTGTGTGCTCTCAGACACATGGCACATTGAAGAAAAGACTTTCTAACCTGTGGAAAGGGCAGAGCTGGGGGAGTCTCTCATTACCAAAGGTTAGCTCTGTCACATCACACACACATAAACCTCTAATGAGGAGCCGGAGTGACAGTTCAGGAGACACTCCTTTTACTCCATGCGACAGAAAAAAAAGAAAAAAAAAACTCTGATCCTCCTTTGGGACCCAGTAATCTTCACAAGGCTGTTTTTATTGAAGCTAAAAGGAAAAATGTCAGACATGTCAAACCTGAGATAAAACAATCCATTAATGTAGAATTCCCTCTGCTGTTTGGCAGCCACCCCTGAGAGGTGAGTGCACTTCACTACAACCTGGACTGATGCAATCTAACAGCTCACAATAAAAAACTATCTTTAATTTATCTTTTTAGGACGAGTTACAATACTAGTATAAAGATAAGACGCAGATTTTTCCATGAAGTCAATTAAAGTCAATCAAAGTCCCCATTCCTGATTTAAGTCCGTACACAGATGTGCGTGCAGACCGTATTGAGTTGTCTGTAGGATGGGGTGGGTGTGCTTTGGGGAGGGTGTTGTGATGTAAGAAGGGAAATGTGGGGGGGGGGGGGGAAAGGGGTGGGGGAGGGTGCTCCTCTCTCTCCCCCATAGAGCGCAGCATGAGCGCTCCGCAGCAAAAGGATGTGTGAGCAGGCAGCGCGCTACTGTAGGGACGGAGTCCACAAACTGCTCAACAAAGAACAAGCCAAACTTCGTGCCCAGGAAAGCCGCGAGCAGCCGAAACCCGTAGCCGGTCAGGACAGCGAGTCCGCGACGGCAGCGCAGTCCGGAAACAGCGGCGCCCAGCCCGGTGGAATCGACGGGCTCGTCCGCTGGATCGTCACCAAAATGAGCGACAACAAGAACATCTCCAGTCGGGAGTACGCCTCCAGCAAGGAGGAGGTGGCCGTGGCTCAGGAGCAGTTCTTCGCCCCGGAACCGCGGAGAGGCATCTCTGTCATCCTGGATGTGAGTATGAGCCGGCGGGCTGGGCGGGACGGGGACAGCCGCGCACCGGTGCAGTGCGCACTTACGCACGGGCAGTTTGGGGGCGATCTGCAGGGTTGTCTCCCAGTCCGGTGGGGTGGGTGTCCGGGATCCAGCGGGGGGACTTCCCTGCCCATCCCTCTCCCTGTTGCACGGTCCTCCATCACATCACTGACTTGTGTTGTTCTAAACTTCTTTATGGGACCAGTAAAACAATACTTCACGTTTCATTTACTGGACCACTTTCTGAGTCCGTGCAAATAAAGTCCCACAGCAGCAACACTGGACCCACTTTGTCTCACTGCAGTCAAATCTGAACATCAACCCTCTTTTTTCCTGAGACGCCCACAGCCCATCTGTGCCATTACCTTCATTTGACCAGAGGCTATTCAACTTCCTGCCATGAAATAGTTCATCAAAACAGATCATATTTCCACACTGACCTTTCAAATTTCCCCCTGGAGATTGCCGACACTACTAAAATGGAGTAGGAAACAGAAGTAGATCGTATCTGCAGACCCTAAATAGATATGGGTTTATAACCGGAGGGCCAATTTTAATTCATTTATCCATTAAAACTCCTTTCACGGCCCCTTAAAAGAAAGAGCCCCAGCAATTCCCTTAGAGAAAGTACTTGGCTGATGAATCCAAGTACCCCAGTAAACTAATTCTTTGCGTGTGCAGAGGAGGTGTAGCCCAGTTTGCAGCTGACGCTCCCTTTCTGTGCAGAGCTCCACCTCAGCTCAGGATTCCTCGTCTGTTTTTTCACTCAGACTGTAGCGAGCCATCAGATCTCACTCTGATCTTATCAAAGTTCTCCTTTGACTGCCGACACCCTTTGAGTGACAGCCGGCTATCTGCTTTAATCTAACGTCCAGCTGATGCTCTGACATCAGCTCTGAACTCTTTCTGGCATTTTCTCTGCTGCTTTCTGCATCACATCCACCTCTGAAATGTTAATGGTGCTGCCATTTCCCACCCCTACTGACCCTGCCATTATCACGGAGTGGAAGTCAACACCAAAGGGGTCCACTGGTGTGTGCGCTCACACCTGCATGGAGCATTTCCCTTATTAGTCCCTCTGCTTCCTTGTTTCTCCTCCTTTGTTGCCCCCATCTTCTCTCTCATTTGAACCTCGCTGCAACTTTCTGACAGCTCTTTACACCCTCTTTATATCCTCTCTTTCCTATTGGCCTCCCCTTTGTGTCTCCTATTATCTATTTTTAATTAGGTTAAGAGATAGATGCAACACGTTCCCTCCCTCTGCTTCTGTTTCTATTTTATTCAACGTTTTCAGCTTCTCCTTGTGGTGTTTTTTGCGACTGTTTCTGTGATAACTCTTTATAAACACGCCGCCTCCGCACCGCAACACTTTTCCTCTCCTCTCCAGGCGTCAGTGTCTGGGCAGCTCGGGGCCAGGCTCCTTTTTGTGGAGCCGAGCACCCCCCAGGGTGCAGCCGGAAAGCAGAACAATGCAGAGCAGCTTGTCATTTGGAGCTCAGCTCGGCACTAATGATTTTTGCTTTGGCTGCAGTTGCTGCGCTCTGAGTTTTATAGCCATAACCCTGTTGTGCAACAATTTATACAATTATACTATACTATTCTTGCATTTGATTAATTTATGTGCAGACTTTCCTTAAATCATGATAAACGATTGAAATAAAATGTGGAAACGAATTGTCTGATGTCTCTCCTTATCTGTCCTGCTCATTTATTACTGAAATAATGGTCCCACAGGAATAAAAGCTACAGTTTAGTTTGAATGAATCAGCAGATTTTTCCATTCATTCATAAAGAAATTAAATTAGCGAACCAACTACCCACAGCACAGATCAATTTACTGTCAGATATGACAAGAAAAAACATCAAATCGTAATGTTTCAGGAAGAAAATCTGGAGTGACATAAAAAAAAGAGTACAAATCTACAGCTGATTAATTTTTCTGCAAATTATTACATAAATACATGTATTTATACATGTATGTATGTATATATATAGATATACAGTATTTATATATGTATATGCATGTATACGTATATCTATATACGTATGTAAATATGTATGATGATATAAAAGTTGTTTAAATATAATTCAGATAAAAACATGAAGCATTCGTCACCTGGTGTGCTCTGGTCATATTTCAATTTCAGATCTAAAGAAAGGCGTCTTCCACACATAGATGCAATGAATCATGTGCTTTGGGGCATGGTTATCCACTGGATACGCTGACCTCACAGACAGTTTCACATCTATCTTTTTATTGTCTCCTTCTCGGCACCGACAGGTGAAAATGTCACAAGTAAAAAAAAATCATTTTAGTTTTCATCATTCATTTCTGTCATAATTTTCTATGGCTGTCTTTGACACCCTGCTGTCTCTTTGCTCATTTATTCCTGGGCATGTCCCTGTCTGTGCCTTTCTCTTTGTCCTCCACCTTGCCATTGTGGTGCTTTCTGGCAGGAACACTTCACATCAGACTCCCAAACACTGATGAAAGCACCAGTTCTGACACTTTCAGTCTCACAAGTTTGGAGGCTTTCACTGCAGCTGTAAATGAGCTCATTGGGATGCATGAATCACCATTCAGCGGTAGCTCATTGGTTTTGTTTTGTGACTTTGAATGTCTACATTTTCATCCAATTTCTACTAATAACCTCCAAACATGCTGCGCCTCATCTGGTTATCAGCCTCTGATTGGACTCACCGAACAGACTTCTGACATCAAAAACACTGAATGGTGACGCAATGACCAGCTTTTTATTTTCGGATCTGCGTTTTCATAGCTTAAAGAATCCATTTGTGCTCCCCATGGATGTTTCTGACACCTTTCTGACTCCTAATTAAATATTTTATACACTTTACATGTTTTAATGATAATTGTAGCCTACATTAGCTTCAAGGTAAAGACTATTTGCTTTTATTTGCTAATATCTTTTAAAACCTCAAAATATTGTTTTAATATTAGGAAGAAAAATAAAGTAGATGATAGTTTTTGTTTCTTTTCTTTCATAAAATGATTTTTCAGATTGGTTTGGAGAGACCGCCATTTGCCAAATTAAAAACGAAATGTTTACAAAGTTAGATCTGGCTCATTTTTTGTTTTTGAATTGGTGCAGAAAAGCACCAGCTGCCGACAGATTAACAGAGCCGTGCCTGAAAGGTGCTCGGTTTTTCAGCCCTCCCACACACACGTGTAGTCTTTTTTGCGGACGATACACACCTGTTCATGACTAAAGCCCAGCTAATGGTTCCTTAACCTCCTGAGACCCTGTGTCCTCATAAGAGGACGTTGCATTTTTGTCTCTCTTTACCATGATACTTCTTTTTTTCTTTCAGCTTTGACCTCTTGACCTCATAGCAGATGCTATCAGACACTGTTTGAAATCTAAAGTAAAATGGTTTTATACATTTCCATCCAATCATGTTCTTATTGTGTAATAGAAAAACTGTAAATGAGTCAATGGGACTGTCAGAACAAAATTGTAAAAACATTTAATTAAATATGTATCTCATATATCTTTAAAAAAAAAGCTAAAATGCATGCCAAATAAAAGCTCGGGCCTCAGGAGGTTAAGATTGGGCCCAGAGTCTGAATG